AGTCTTCTCCCACCGCGGCGTTGCCGCTGCTCGCCTGCGGTGCATTCACCATTTGCCCATCCGTCAGTGGCGGTCCTTCCACAGTCGTGCACATTGTCGACCATGTCTGCCAACTTGGCGCCGACGTTGAGACGACCGAGGCCCTCACCGATCTGCCGATACAGACGGCCTCGAGTGACGACAGTGGCGTCGCCAGCAGCCTCGGTTGCGAGACCGTCATGGCGACGGGAAAAGCCTCGCCGATGCCGGCCAATTCGGGCCTCCTGTTCGGCACATTGTTGGCAGAGCCCGGGTTGCTTCCACACGCTCCACAATTCAATCCTACGTCGGCTCTTACGCTGCTTTCGATCGGGCCGACCGGATCATTTCAACCGTTGCACACGCCAGTCTCCAGCCTCCCGAGGCCGGTGACTTTTATCAACAGGATGGAGCGACCTTCTACACAAAAGTTGATGCTCAGCCAGACTCACGCTTTTCAAGCTGTATCACTGCCTCCAGACGAGTCGGAAGATTCAGAAACTATTAACTTGGCTCCACGTCTGATGACGACCATTTTGGGCGGTGAGCTGGACGCCAGCTGCCAGTATAGCCCAGTCTTGGCTGAGTGTCCTTATTCAGCCCAGTGATAATGTTATTAAAGCCATCAGCTGACAGAATAGCTGCTGCATCGTAAATGTCTTTTGCCTTGAAGCCATTATCTCAATGAAAACGTTGCAAGATCTAATTGGTCACCTGTACATAGGTATGCATATTTTGATGCGAAAGCATTGTGATTTTGATGAGACATATTTATATTTTTATATATAGTAAAGACCATTTTTTTCCAAATGTTGTCTATTCATTTTGCAGAAAGGTAACATGACAACCAGCAATTCTATTGTGGAAAAGTGAATACATTAAGTTTGCCCAAATAATTATATATACATTGAGTATATATCGATACTAGGCTTTGTACTCCCTCCAAATCGCAAATTGATTCAGGTCATAGAGTAATTCTTAGTATGAAAACTTACAGGGCCATAAATAGTTTCTCTTGGCTCAACTCGATGAAAATAACGTAATAAAATTCCCCATTCCTATTAGAGATTTTGGTAGAGGTATCATTTGGGCTCGTTTGCATTAATAACTCACTTTAATTTTTGATGATAAATAATTAGCATACATTTTAAACTACATTTGTAAAACTTATGAAAACATATATTTACTGCTTTAATTAATGAAAAAAAGTCCATAAATGTATGATGCAATAATTCCATAACAAATTTAGGCCTTTCCGAATATAGCAGATGCACTTAATGCTAAAATAGAATGCTTATTGTAAGATTCCTTGATTACTGTTTACGGAACAAAATGTATTTTACACAATATCTAGATTTTACCTGATGAAATTCAACACGCCTTTTCATTACATTGCTTTTGAGACATCCAGATGAAATGTCGGCAATTGAAAAAATAATGTAGGGGACCAACTAAGTTATACATAATCGTAACTTATAAAGATTCAAAATGATGTTTAGTACTTCCATTTAGTTTATTGGGATAAAATGCGGCAACTGGAGTTAGCGCATGATTCATATATCCTTGGGATGGACGACAGAGCGGCAAAGAAAGGATTGGTATTACTGTGAGTAAGTGCTGTCAAGAGACAAAAACAATAAATATGCAAATATTATATAAGTTAGAGAAAAAATGGCCGTTTTAGACGGATAAAATTATTCTTACGACTCAAGTCCTTAGATTAATATAAAAATTCATCCATATCTCATTAAATTTTGTGAGTAAATGTAATGATAGATTGCCAAAAGAAACATTGCTTTCTTATTATTAGCCTAAAAGATAAACATAGGCTCTTATTTTAAACTACTTAGTAAAGCTTTACTTATATGTTTGCTATCGCCTAACTGTCAACCTAGAGCTTTATAAAAAAAAAATTTTTTACCTATGTGAACTGTGTTGCCGTATGTTTTTTAAATTTATTAATAAAATGCCTAAAGTAGACTATTCTGAAACACGCAGTTGTATGCCGAGT